GGAGCCACTAAATGCATTCATATTTGCGATGGGTGACAGTGTTTTGGTTGTTAGTGTCAAATATTAAATTGAAAGTGTCGGCTATGAGCAGCTCAGTGTAAACAAAACTGGAGCGGAATTATTTGTTATTTGTTACAGACATTTGCTTCCATGGAACCCCCCAAAGGATTCAGGGAATGCACACATGATGCTGGGGCTATTCCGACTTGATTTATTTTCATTGTAAATGTTTACTTCTGATGGCATGGTGTGGTCCTCTACCAACTGGACAATGGTTTAAAGCAATAGGGCACCAAACGTATTTTTAATATAGCCTATTTATGAAATGTCTTATTTTATTATGATTTTTTAAATATTTGTTTCTTTCTGTTTTCTGTCTTTCATGTCTGTACTTTTGTCAGTCTAGTATTTGGCTATATGGCAATGTATTTATACCACCAAAAAATAACAATAAAAAAAAAAATAAGGCCAACAAGATGTGCTGTTTTTATCCTATGGCTCCTATGTGTTTGTTTTTATTGCATTCCCTGTGTTCTATCGATTCTTTGATCTGTGTTGTCGACAACTTTGTAAAGTCCCCTGTGATGGCTGCTGCTGTGGTTTCGATTATACATTGAGTTGAATTGAATCCTATAAGAAAACCTTCTCTCTTTTGTAAGACACATGTGAGCCACTATTTGATGCTTTGGGGTGTGAGCTTATTGAGGGTGCTTATTTTTATTTCTGATTTAAAGAAGTGACAGTGGCCAAAGAGACATGCATGTGAAAACTATAAGGGTAGAATCTTTAGAGAGTTTGGAGCTATAATAAAATGTGTTTGTGGTTTTAAAGTTACAAAAACCAACTTTTAATCGATATCAGATAGACATCTACCTGTTCCCTATCTACAGCTTGTTGCTGCAGTTCTGGAGACAATATTTTTTTGCAACAGCGAATATAAGTAGATCTCTATCTTGTTTTGTTAAAGTAGCTATTCAATAAAAAAGACTAATACGTATATGTAGGAAATAGTATGATGGGTGTAGGATCAGAGTATGTGGGCTGGTGTCTTGTCTGTGTATGAGTCTACTGTATGTGTGTGTGTGGGGGTGTGTTGTTTGCTTAATCTTAATTCCAAATAAAGCGTATCATCATCAAAGAAGCAAGAAGGTGACTCCTCTACCGCCATCTCCATGAGTCACAAACTGAATCATTTGCAGCTAAAAAGAAATCTAATCCTCCATGTGAATCATACATACAGCAAACTACTTTCTATAGAAAAACACATGGGCCATAATAACCACCGTATTAATTTGAATAATATATGACATTGAATTTAGCTCATATTTATAGACATCTTCCAGGATGTGCTCGCGGCCTATCTGACAGGAAACAACAATTTGAACTCCTAAAGAATAATTATGACTACAAAAAACAATAGTCTTATTATGCATGAACCAACTCGGACTCTGAGGGGCACAGGGACTGGGCTCCTGCTGGAGCCCAGAGTCAGAACTAAACATGGGGAGGTCACATTTCAGATTCATGCAGCTATAATCCGGAACAGTCTTCCTGAAGGTTTTTTAAAAAGTTCTCTTCAGCTGTGCATACAACTGAGGGATTTTAGCTTTACTCTTTTTAATGTACTGTGATTAGTTAGGCCCGAGCCCCAACCGGGGTAAGGGCCTATTGCTTTTCCAACGAGTAATGCCTGGGCGAAGCCCAGGCATTACTCGTTGAACTGTCATAAGTCACAATCTCCGGGCGCAGCCCGGAGATTGTGACCTGCACGCGACGGCACGTGCCCAAGCACTGATAAATCCGTGCCGGAGGCACGGAATGGCTTTGTTCCTGCTGTAGTACACAGTGAAATGATTGAAGTCCTATTAAAGGGGGGTTCCTTCAACTGTCTTACGGACGAATAACAGAGTTATAGAGTGCCACACTTGTTGGTGACCTGCACGCGACGGCACGTGCCCAGACACTTATAAATCCGTGCCGGAGGCACGGAATGGCTTTGTTCCTGCTCTAGTACACAGTGAAATGATTGAAGTCCTATTAAAGGGGGGTTCCTTCAACTGTTTTACGGACGAATGTCCGGACATTCGTCCCCCAAGCCCGACGGCGCGTGCCCAGACACTGACAAAACAGTGCCGGAGGCACTGAATGGCTTTGCTCCTGCTGTAGTACACACTGTAATCAATGGGGTCCTATGGGGGGGGTGGGTGACCTCATGATGGCGAGGTGATTGACGAGCGCGTCAGCGCTCGTCAATCACCGAGAACCCAATAGTTGCGTTCGCCTCGTCGTTCGCTTTAAAACGACGTATCATTTGTATTATAGGTTACTATGGAAACCTATATTGTTTTTTGCTCGAAGATTTAAAAAAAAAAAATTCCTTGGTTTATTTATTATTTATTTATTTATTTATTTCTTTTTTCTTCTGCACTTTGAGCCTTAATTTGACCCCCTGAACATTGATGAAAAGTTGTGAAATTTTGTCCTAAATTCAGAACCGAAAAATTAATTTTTTTGGTGTTTATTTTTATGGGACTAAAAAAATGTCAGAATAGCGCCCCCTACAAAAGTCAGTTTACATTGCGCCTATGGGAGGGGGTCGAAGGTCAAGTTTGTCGTAGAGCCACGAAATTCGGTACACATGTTCCTCAGGTCAAGACATGAAAAAAAAATAATTATGGCTCCGCCCCCTGACAAACAGGAAGTTCATTAATTTAATTGGAAAATGGAAAAATGAAAATTGATCTTTTTCACATATGTCGGCTGGAAATTATCTCCTCCTCGGCCGTTTCACCGATTTGTCTCAAAATCGCTCCACATGGTCTAAACCCATGTCCCATCTATTATTGAATATAGAATTTGGATCAATTAAATTTTTTTGGGGATTTTTGACAGAAGTAAATTTGCTCCCGTTTGTCCAGCGTGGACTGACCTTATTTTCATAGAGAGGTGTGAAGTTCCCATATTATCCAATGGAGACTGTATGGACACACTCACAGATTGTATGTGTAAACAGGAGCACATTCACAAACTCGGATTTGCACTAAACTTGACTCTATTGTTCAACTCCTGGGCCTAGGTCACATGACTGTGTGAACAATGACATTGGCCCATTAGCGCCCCCTACAGGCTGAGTAAAGGTTTACATGGGGATAAAGGTATTTAGGTTTTCAGTTGTTTGATCTCATATTTGACCCACTTTGCAAACATGAAAACTCACCAAACTTTGCCACAAGTTTTTTTCAGGCATTAAGTGTATTAGTTTGGTGTTCTTTGGTATAACACTAAAAAAATTAAATTGTAGGGGGCGCTGTTGTACAACATTAAATAACACCATTTGCACATACAAAGTCCGATTTGCACAAAATTTGAAATGATTGTTCAACTCTTGGGTTTGGGTAAACTGAAAGTGTAAAAGACAAAATTGCAAAAATAGCGCCCCCTACAGACTGAGTCAAGTATTACATGGGGAGAATGAGGTTTACCTTTTCGAAGACGCACACAATCACTGATCATAGGCATTCAAAATCCACAGTGTCGCTCCCATCAGGGCGGTAGGAAAATGGCGCGTCAGCGCCACCTCCTTTGCGCGGTGCGGCGAGGGCCGTTAGATGCCGCTTGCGGCTTTAATTCTGCTTGTTTTTACAACATGGGCGACAGTGGCTCAGTTGGTAGAGCATTGGCCTTTGAGCCTGAAGGTTGTGGGTTCAAGAATTGCCTAGAAAGAGTCTGGTGTGTGTGTGTGTGTGAATGGTTGGTGGTGGTCGAGATTTATATATGTATATCTGTGAAGTATCTAGTCCTGAGTTGGCTTGTTAAAACCATGTCCATTTAGGTCGAACAGAATCCTGCTCTATGACGTGACTACAAAGGCAGCACTGTGCGGCGCCATGTAAAATTCATAATCCTGTTTGCTAAGTCACACCATTAATGTTTAAACTGGGCTCTGCAGAGACGTCTCATGTGTTGTGAGACAGCACTTTTGAGCGCTGCATCTGTGACTAAGAGCAAAGCTTTCTTGGCTCATATTTTTAGACGGCATTGGCAATAGAACTGTCATCAAACATATTTATCATTGGCTTTTAAAGGACGCGGTCTTGACGAGGGTCCATCGTTTGAATGGAAATGTTACCTCTTGTTTTCAGGGAATATGCCTGATATTAAAATGGCTCTGCCCTTAAAGGCAGCCAGGTGAAGCCATTCAGTCATTGGAGAGGCCTGCCTGTTCTAAATAAAAATAAATCATATTAATATGTAAGAAAGTAATTGAATACATGCAAGAAAGACATGGAGCTTTTCATATATTTAGTTAGCTTCAATATGCATAACTTTTTGTCTAGATTTTTGTTTTGTATTGATTACAAAGTAAACAGAGCCTTGTGACACTTCAGACTATTCTGCCGGCTGAGATACAGTATGATTTCTTGGGCATCCATTCTTGCTCCTACCATCATTTTATGCTCCAAAAAACAGTTTGCATACAGTTTTGAACTAAATGCCAAAACTATGGACCTATTTAAATGCACACTATATCTCTCTTTGAAGTTTGAAAATCAAGTCTATTATTGCTTTTATAACAGATACAACGTGATATTGCCAGGTCACTATCGGGCTGTGAATGCAGAAACCTCAAGGCAAGGCAAGGCAAGTTTATTTGCATAGCACAATTCATACACAAGGCAACTCAAAGTGCTGAACAAAACAAGAGAGAGACACATAATAAATTAAAATCATTAAAAAAATCACACTAAAAACAGGGAAGATAAAATCCCTCAGTTGTATGCACAGCTTAACAGAACTGTTTTTTATTATCCTGGATTTGGACATTGTCAGAGAAGAAGCCTGTCACACATTTTCAGGAAGACTGATTTTTTTTAAATTATTTTGTCATATTCTGATGTACAAACACATACCCCGGGAGATATCAGCAACAAAATAAAGGATACATACACACACATAAAATAAAAATGAAAAAAAACACTAAAACAAAATTCAATTCTTACCTGGTCTCTAATGGGACGTTGCTGTTGAGCACCCAGCTGTCCTGTAGCTGGACGGACTCAGGGGTGGTGGGCCCATCCCCTGTGCCCGGAGCAGGGGCGTGGATGGGGTTGCGTCCCCCTCTCAGTGTGTTTCTGTTCAGGCTGTTGGCAGACTGGTGCGACACGGTGTGGTGGTTGTGAGGAGGCGGGAGTGGGGGCCGCAGCGTGGACTGACTGTGATGGTTGGCAGTCCCTGAAAAATGAGGATACATAAAAAGACGTTCAAATTATGATCCGAGTTTCTTTGTGAAATAAATCAAAAGGAGTTTCTGGTGAACAAAGGGAATTCCAAGTGCATGCGAAAAAAGTGGAGCAGCTTGTTTGAGAGTACAGCTGCAAGACAACTTCATTATCACTGCATTATGTGCTGCCGCTGTAGCTGCAATTACTTTGTCAGAGAAGGCCTATATTTCCAGGTGCTATACTGGTTTTAGGGCCTCAGAGGGACATTTAACATTTACAGAATCAATTGAAACTGTTATATTGCAAAAACTAGGAGATATGATAAAGGCGATTGCAGTTTCAACTTAAAGCATGCACTCAAATGGATGAATAATTATGAAACTTATTTTGGATGATAAGCTAAGATGGTACTTTCATCGTCCCACAGCGGGGAAATTTCAATGTCATCGTTGCACACATTACAGAAGAATAATAAGTAAGAAATAAGAGCACTCAGATTGCACACATCAAACCGGATCTGTTGTTTAAGATAATAGATATTAACATGTTTGCACACACAATATGAGTGATTCTATGTATGCCAAATGTGACATGTAAATTTCTCCAGTGTGAGATCAATAAAAATCTATCTTATCTTATCTTAATAAAATTAATAAGTAGTAAGATTATAAAATTGGATTAAATAATGAGTAGGGATACCGAAAATCCATTAATATTCATACACTATTGAACCTTATGGTGTGGTATGGTCCTACATTTCAACTGCAGAATAGCAATACAACACCGACCAAACAACCAGTCCAAAACAGGCAAGAATCCCAGTATCCCCCCCAATCTGAAATCAGAGTGGGACTTGAGCCTGCCTCGACAATCTGTCCTTAAGAAAATCCATAAACCGCACAAGAGCACATATGGGAAGAGGAGTCTGTGTTTTTGAGAATGCACATGATCGATCGGCAGCTCAAGGCCAAAGTCGTGTACTCTGAGACAAACGGACCCGATGTGCTCAAAATGTCTTGAATTGACAAAATTTAACTGAACTAAAACATGATACTGTAGACTCCACGCAAGCATCAGGAGACAGATTTGCCAGTTTTTGCAACAAGAACACTTGGATAAAATAGAGAGAGTGTTTATAGGCTTGCAGCAATCGATATATACAGCCAAGATAATGGGCACTAGCTGCATGAAATCACCGGAACTTAAGCTTAAGGACTTAAACGCAACACACGTTTTCGCATTAACATTTTTTAACATCCATCCGTCAGGGGCCAAAAATAAATACCTGTGATAAAAAAAACTGTTTTGTGAACTGGTTTGAGAGCAAAGAATGATAGTAACATTGATTATATTGAATCTATTTATCAGGGGTCTCCAACCTGTGGCTCGGGAGCTCCCCGCAGCTCGCCAGCCCCTTTCAGGTAGCTCCCCAAGTGATTTAGAATTCAACACATGACCTTCCATTATCCACTTCTGAGTCATTACATTTCTATTATAAGTATAAATATAGAGTTATACAGTGTTATGGTATAGTTTAAATGTGTTTTGTCATAATGTATAAGTAGATTTGTATTATGACTGCAAAAAAGGAGTAGCTCTCTGCCTCGTATGTTGTTTAAAAGTAGCTCTCTGATTGAAAAAGGCTGGGGATCCCTGCTATATATGTACGTTGTGTGGTAAAAAATGAAATGAAAAACTAAAATTGGTGTCTTACTACTTTTGATACACAATATTCCCCAATCATTTGTACATCACAGGAGACTTCGCACATCAGAACAACCACTGATTAAAACATCGCCAACTGATTACACATAAGTATAATCTCGACATATGGGAGAGGGTGCACCAGGAGCAGCTTTGTCAAATGGCGATTCCTTCATTTATGCTCAAAGTTCGTCTCCTTTTATTATTCCTTCACTGTAGCCGCGTTCTCCAGATGCCAATGTGACCGGACTGCTCTGTGCTGCCCCCGGAGGCCGTGGCTGAGGGTGCAGGACTCAGAAGAGCAGCTGCAGTGAAAGAGGAGAGGAGGAGAAGGACTTGACCTGTGACACGGACAGACACAAACATCTGTCTGCACATGCGAAGAGGCTCCTGGGATGAGATGCACTCTCTCTCATCTGCATATTTCTAACAAGCACTGGCTCCATCTCTGCAGCATGAGGACTGTGTGTTAAATATCAAATACATTTCCTCGTATAAATACAAGATAAGAGAACAGTTATTTGTCCTACAGCGGGGAGATGTCAGTGTCATTGTTGCAAACATTAAGACAGTAAAAATTAGGATAAGCCCACATCAAACAAGATACAAGGGAATAGTCTATTTTTCCAATATTGCCTTGATTGTAATGACCTTAATGTTATTTACTGATGGATAGCAAATATAAAACGTTTGACCAACTTTATGGAAATAATGAAACCAATAATTTTGCAAAAAGACAGAAGAATCGATCAATTTATTTTAGTGCTCCATACATCTGCTGATTCTAATCTCCCATTGAGTAATCTATTCACTAAAAGTATATGCTGAGTCACTGTTTTAGAGAAAGGTTACTATGAAATACATACAGAAGGTGGGAGGCTGGGGCTTCTACTTGATTATTTATTTATTGATGTATTTGATAAGGACAAGTGTAAACAGTCAACATGTAAAACACTGCAACATTTATAGCCAGGGCTAATTTGCATCATAATCAGAACACTGCTGATTAGTCCTGTGCACTTGATCAGGGTTCCTACAGGTTTCCTCGGTCAAGTTATAGTATTTTTCAGACTGTCGTATCACCGTTTAAACAATAAATGAACCACCATTGTATTTATTTATGTTATAAAATTGAATAGTCCTATCTCTTTCATATTCTAGGGCTCTACCATTGGTTTAACTTAACATTTCTGAAGAATTCTGGCGCAAGACTAAATGGGAATTGTAATTAAGATATGTTTGTAATAATACAATTAACTTGCTTATTTTTCTCACAACTAATATACATGGTTGTTGATTAACCAATGGAAAACTTGAAACTAAAACAGTTATCAATGAGGCGCGGCACGTCCGACCACATCTCAGGAAGTGACATCAGCTCATATCTGACAGGTCACTGAGGGCGGTGAAATACATCTCACTAATGTCTGACGAGAGGAAATTAAGAGACGGCTTTAAAGAAGTGTCCAATGAGGCAAAACTATGATCAATATTCACCACAGGTTCACAGGCAGCATTCACATCTGTCAGATATAATTTAAACAACACTTTTTTGCCCACTGGGATTTGTAACCAATTGGGCAAAACCAAATAACCACAAACACAATGTCATACAAGCACGATTGACAAACAAAGCAATAGATAAACTCATTGCATGTGATTTGTTGACTACAAACAAGTGAGAAAACATTGAAATCATCTTACATTAACAGAGAAGCTTATTGTTTTCATTTTATAACTAAAATGTCTTGCATAACTGGCTACATTTTCAAATAACACATTATTCTGTATATTCCCTTGCTGCAGTGTGGCTACTACTTTTTCTCCAACAATAATATTTTCTCAAAGACTGTTATCTATTGCCTGGGTTTAACAATGCACACAATTTATGTAGAGAAAAAAGCTGGTATCCACAGCAGACATCACAGGCTAAGTACAAAGCCTCACAAACCAGCAGCCTGCTATACCACAAGAAAAAGCATGTGTTTGCCTCACTGACTTTCCCTCCATAAATATTGAACAGCTTTTTCACAATCATTTATAGATGAATAATATATGGCACACCTTGTATAGAAAAAAAAACATGGGTTTTCAGCTTTCTTAGCCTGGCGCGAGTTTGCAAGACTTTGGGCATTGTTTTACCATTAGGGAGGGAGTTGGCAAGCAAAATTCATCAATCCTCCAAATGGTACACGGAAAAATATTTTTTTTGTCAAGGCATAAAGACAAAATGTGAAAATGTATGAAGACATGCAAATGCTTTTATGTGTACTATTATCTGGCAACCGCAGGCTATAGGAAGAGATAATGTCAAAAAGATGTAAATGTCATGTGTATAAAGTTGGATCTCACCATCTGAAATGTGCTGTTTTTGTATGTATTTTAACTGGACCAAACCAATCGTATTTTCATGCTTGTTTTGAATCAATATTAGTTTGGAAAATGAAAACTTGTGGCCTTCAAAGAACAGGAAATGCACCACAACCGTTTTAAGATATTCTTCTGAGTGCCATTTCTCGATGTAATGTATTCTAGCCAAGACCTCAAGTTCATAATGAGATTCAAATGAACAAAAGCAACATATTTTAACCTAAAAAAAAGAGAAAAATGCATCGTCCGTGTAAAGTAAGAGGAACAGAAGGTCGCAAGTATAAGGATAAGTGGACGGACACAGAACAAAAACCTCCAAACTAATTTCATCTGATATTCTCCAGTTATGAAAAATGCACCAACATTCTAAAAGTTGAAGGAGATCAAATTATTACTGATTGTTTGAGTAGTAGTTTAATCTGCACTCTTTATCGATCGTAACATCTTTCACATGTTAAAACTGAACCAAGGCCTTGTTATTGGACAAAAATAACTGCAAATATGAAATAATTATGGAAGAAATACACACAATGGAAACACCCAGCATTTTCTAATCACACCTATTGATATTATAATAGTCCCAACGGCCATCAAAACATTTCATTGCAGTGTCTGGGTTTCTTCATTTTCTCTAGATTTACCTGCGCTGGAAGATTAATGGGAAAACCGGAGCGCCTGAAGGAAACCCATCCAGATGAGGGGAGAAACTCTACACATGAATTGGCCTTGCTACCCAATCAGCGACCAAGAGATGTCTCAAAATGTGTGTTCTATTTTCTTAAATCTTTTCATACATTTAAAACTCATTAAGATGGCGATTCAAAACATTGCCAGATAGTACATGAAAGTGTTAACTAAATGATAAAGATAATGCTATTAAGTGTAGTATCTCTGTGCCCAATAGCTACAATCCGCAGGTGGCTCTAATAGGAACTA